GCAACAACTACCGCCTAGACTAAATGAAGTAAACGGTAATTTTGACCGCGACTCATATAACCCTATATAACCCCTATATAACCCATTATAATGGTTTCCTAAACCCTAAACCTACACACTTCGATCCCTGGACTCCGCTCCTGAGCAGCACTCCTCCTCTGGTGCAGCTCCTGACCTTCCTCCAGGGCAAGCAGACTGCACTGGCACCCTTATCTGAGGGTATAGGGCCTTGGGGTTTAGGGTTTGGGGTTCCTGGTTTAGGTATATAGGTGTCTATGGGAATATAAGGGTATGCAGAGATATATCAGGGAATGTGGAGGCATATAGACGCTCTATGGTTTAAGGCGAGTGGAGAAGAAAATGGAAACAACTACATGATTGAGAGCTTATGATTTAGGGAATTCGGGTTGGGGAGAGACTGAGGGAATGGATTCTTGCCCTGAAGCCCCCGATTCCCCACAAGACACCAGCAAGTGACATGATGCATGGGAGTTTGACAAAATTCCCTAGAATCTTGTAAGTATGGTCTATGAAGATTCTATCGGGATTGTAAAGAGTGCGTGGGATTGATTATGGGAGTTTCACCCAATCAGGGTCCTATAATAACTCGTATAGCATGGGGGGCAGTATCTATGCGGTGATGCCGCATTATTCGCCTAGGTTGCTGTGAGAAACCTGCATAGGGATCAGCGCTACAGCAAGAACCAAAATCGAAGGACTCACTGTGCTGACTTTACGCGACCTCCCAACAGCACTGCACTGCTTGTCGTTTGAGCCATATTCGCCGCAGCAGCACCAGGACTCTTTGGGGATGGTGATGTGAAGTCGAAACGTGAGACCGATGATGAAAGGTAGAAAGTGTGGAGATGCCAACTGGCCCGGTCGCACTACAAATTGTAATCAACATCATCACGATGATAGCTGACCGCCATCCGAAGCAACCAACATGTGGAGGCACAATCGAAAGCACCGCCATGGTTGTCATGGTCATCATCCATGACCAGCACAAGCATCATCACCCTCATGATCATAACCGATCCCACTACTACATCTACTACTATCACCATGCTACTACCACGAGTACTTCAACTGTTATCATCATCATCACCACCACTGCAACGATGAACGGCACCTCCTGAACAGCGCGGATGTGGTCAGCCAAAAGGCATGCCAGCCTGCATCAAACATTGACACGAAGAGGAATGGCTGCAGGAGGTAGTAGACTCTTTCGTGGCGGCGGAAGCAGTGGTGAAAATGCATGGTGACAAATCGTTGCTGCAGCCAATACTGCTGACAATTTGGTGTTGTCAAGAACAACGTGAGACGATTCTAGAATCGCCGCACCCTTACCCACCTGCTCGTTTTGAGTTTTAGGCGATCGTGAATGAACTAGTGATTTGGGAATCATGGCTTGGAGACCTCTGTTGGATCCTAGATGCAACTCGAAACCTCTATGGAAACGCGGCAAGAAACCTGCTGCATGCCCCACGACATGCGAATATCTTGACCACAGCAAACCGCCGCCGAAATCATGCTGACTGGAAGCTCATCGATTTGCGACGACTGCTGCGATGAAGGCCTGAATGCAGTTGCTTTCAGATGGTTGCTTGTCAAGGTCATCCACTATGAGTTAAAGCTCATGAAGACCCCAGAACGCAAGTGTATAGGCAAGCAAAACAAAATGCTGAGTCATGTTTGAGCTTGCTTGACAACTGTTTTCGCGAGCCACCTTGTACTTGCTGCACTTGTCCACGTCCGCAAACCCTGAAGCCTAAACTAAGCCGTGTGGTGATAACATGGCCAGGCATCTGATCCCGCACCGGCATCCCATTGCACATCATCACCTCGAAGGAGAATCCAAGGGGACTTCAAGGATGCACGGCAACACAGCTTATGAATATCTAAATTCTGCTCCTGCTTGCTGTCACTATTGCTTCTTGCAATTCATATTTGAGCAGTCTGGACTCTATTGCAAGTATTGCTCATCTAGCGGTTCATGCAAGTACGGCCAATTTTAGAAAATCAGCATTTGCATCATTCTTGCTACAACTACAGAAAGGACTGCTGCCAGACCCCGCAAATCAAGGGTTTTGACATGGAAATAACGACTTGCTCTTGACCTCAGGCTATGTACTAAAAAGGCTGGGTTGTTAGAGTATCATGTATTGAACTGTTGAGCGTTTGTGATACTTCTAACCCTGTATTCGCTCAAAATACAGTTCGAAAGAGTCTTGTGAGGAAGCCCAAGCGTGGTCTCATAACAGTCCCTTCTCAACAACTATCACTATCATGACTAGAAATATATTGCAATGCTTGTACTGCTATGACTATGCTTCTATCACTGCTCGGCATTGCTTCTGCAGTAGGAGTCGTGGCAGAACCACAAGCATCGTAGTTGCCACGAGTAGCTGCATACCCATAAAAATACTACTATCGCTTGGAGGTTCGGGGTAATTATCACCCACTTAGAACCCAATAGGGTGACTTACAGCGTCAAGAAGTCTTGGAGTCCCAATGTAGCCCGTCTCCAAGTATGCCCGAGCATAGCGTAGTGCATCCCGGAAGCCGGGCGGTAGCATGGCAGGGAGGTTCGAACGCTTTCCATGCAGTTCATCCAGTAATCACCTGACAGGGTTAGGGTTTTGGGTTTATAGTCCCCCTTAACTAGATAGAATATGGGATGTATGGTGGTCTTAATATAATATACCCAAAGCCATATTCCATCTACCTTAGGGGGACTATAGGCTGTTTAGGGTTGAGCTTTCTTGAGAAGTCATTTGGTAGGTGGTCAAAATTATGGTCCTCGTTTGGGTACCCTGTAAATTAGAGGCCGGCCGTACTACACTCAGGACCCAAAAAGAAAACAACCTAGCATCTTGAAAAGTAGGATCATGATAGTTGGAAAGGGTCGAAAAGCCCCGTATTCAGGCATGGCCATCTCGTGCACGCTCATGTTCAGCTACATTAGCCAGTCCGTTCATGTCACGTGCTGTGCTGACTGGCACAAAAGCAGTGTGGCGTGTCAATGTCAAATGCGGACCATGGAGCGTATTTCCTCAGCTGTGAACTCCTTCCCATACTTGCAGAGAATCCTGGGCGTCATCACGTTGCACTTGCAGAGAGCCTGCTAAATGCTCACTGATAGTTGCTGCTTTTCACGCCAAGAGTCTCAGTGTATGTACATATGGCGCCATCTTCTGGATCCAGCTTCACCTAAAGCAAGGAGTCCGTGGCTTCAAAGAGCTAGTCATGGTGGTCCTTGAGGTAATCTTATGGGGCAGTTGCTAGTTGCTTGAGCCCCAACATGGGAGGAAAGTTAGCTTGAATGAACACGCACTACTTTCTGGCAGCGGATAAAATAACCTTACCACAGCATCATGGACAAGGAAGGAAGTAGGAGGATCCCTACTGAAGGACTCTATAGGAATGACACTAAGATGTGATGGCACCTGCCTTCGGCTCTCCCACGACGGTGGCCGGATCGTCTGCCAGACCCAGAAACCGTAGCAAAAGCTCCTTCAACATGGCTTATACTATACGAGATACACTATAAGTTTATGTAACATACCAGAATAGACTATATGAGATATACTACAGTCTTATATGATATGCCAGAAGATACAGTCTCAGTATTCTGCGGGAATCCTCACAACATGGATTGTAAACCTATGACCCCGGCGTCTCTTGGATGCTGGAAGGTGGTTACTAGAAAAAGGAAGGGCTGTGGAGTCAAAGCAAAGGTCTTCACGACTTTTGGATGCTTTTCCAGCATGCCTGCTACGGTACTGACAACTTAGGTTGGGCCCCCACCCACTAATAGTGACCACAAGAGGTAATGGTAATCATATTAGGGTCCTCATATATTCCTAGTATACCACTATTAGTGTGTGGGGGTTCAACCCAACTGACAACTCACTTAGAAGAAACCACTGATGCTCAGAATGTTAGTGCGAGGCCAAATCCAAACTACTGCCCGGTCCAGGCCCCAGGTCTGTGGCTCAGAGGTCTCCGGCGCCCGGCGCCGTTCCTCCGCACCCTCCTCAGGCAAATTTCAGGTAAACGGGTCCATTAAAGGTGTAGGGCTTAGAGATGTTCATAGACTACATATGTTCTCCAACGCTTTTAACCCCACATGGTGCCAAACAGTCTGTACACCGCAAAGTATGCTGCCTTAGTGATTCAACACGTGAAATCTCAAGGATCGCCACATTCCAGGATATTCCCACTGTCGTGACCAAATGCCAAACTCTTTCCCTTGCAAAACCCCAAGCCCCTCCTCTATTTAAGCCAGACCATGACCCACTAACCCCTGAACCTCTGCTCAAAGGCAACTGCAATCGCCCTCTGAGGCTGGAGCAAAGGCCCAGTCTAAGACCGAGCGGAACTGCGCTGGATCCTTGCTGTTGCTTTAGGTTCCAGATTTCAAAGTAGAGTACACTTCCAGTGTATGAGAGAAATCGTGTCACTAGTCTGGGCTCTACATCCTCCTGCCCGGATCTTCAAGATTTTGCCTAGGGCAAGATGTGTAACTGCGGGATGAGCATGGGGAATAAACTATGTGAGGGGTAGGAACTACATAACGATCAATCCTCTGCTAGATTGCAGCATTACAGCTTAGCCGAGATCTGCAATCAGGCAGGGTGTTGCTGCATTGCACGTCGCTTTGAGGTTTCGACTAGGTCGAGGAAGATGCGACCCTCCTCGTCCTCAGTGGAACAGTGCAACGGCCGCGCTGGGTTGGCACGCAACAGTACACAAATACTTGAGGGAATTCCAAAATCAGGATTCTACCGTACCTAAAATGCTGTGTGCCCAGAACTAGTAGTATTACAGTAGGAGCCCCAAAGCAAACATACATTTGAGAACAACCCATATTACGGTGACCCGAGTTTGGGCATGAACCCTTCTTTGCAGCTAAGCCTCCAAGCTTGCGTATCCACCCCATCGGCCGGTCACCAGAGAATGCAGGAGTGACTTGGGAAAGCATTCAAACTGCTCGCCTGGGTTGGGGCCAAGAGTAATAAAACCGAAGTGTCCGTATGAGAACTGAAGCAGATTGAAGCAGGAAACCAGCCATATCATGATCCCGCAACATGCCAAATAGTGATAGAAGTTCGAGAGAGCACTGTTCTCCATTCTTCATTTCCCGAAGACTTCAGGGATGACTAAAGGATTATCCATTGAACAAACATGTTTCTGCTGCGGTGCTTAATCCGGTTGTTGTTACAATCCGTTACGAAGACTACCAATTTCAGTATTACTGGTGGTGAAGCTGGTGGCAGCAGTGGGTGTCGGAGCAGCAGCGGTCAGTAGCGGTTGCTGTAGCAGTAGCATCAGCCCTAGCAGGCCCAGCAGCCCTGGCAGCATTGGCAGTGCTACAAGTAGCAGCAGCAACAGCAGCAGCAGTGGCGGCAGCAGCAGCAGCAGAAGTAGTCGTGGCGGCAGCGGCGGCGGCGGCGGTGGTGGTGGTGGTGGCGGCAGCCAATACCGCGATAGAGCGAGCTGCGACAAAGCTCAAAGCCAGTGTCACCACCGACGTTGAGCTTGACGGCGCCTTTCCTCGGCGACAGCTGCCAATGGCACAGCGCAGCGTTCTTGTTGATTGTTATCACATGCCACACCGCTGCCAAGGCACTCTGCAGACGCGGGCAATGCCTCCTGCTGGAGCTGTGCCACCTGCACCTGGCGGATGAGGCCGACGGGCATCCTACCCCAAGCAGAAAAAACAACTTCTCGTCTTGCAGCCACTTTGAATTCGCATTCTCTACATAAAGCCACGGTTTAGCAGCGTTGCTTCTGCTGAGCAACCTCGAGCTCCTCAACTTCCAGCCGCAGCTCGTCCAGGTACTTGCGGATAGCCTTGGGGAAAGAGGGCAGAGGGCAGACACTGGCTTCTGGCAGATGTTGGGACATGTCGGGACTGCAGGCCTGCGCCGACTCGTCACAAGTCTTCCGCCGAAGCTTCGTAGCACTCGTAGCATCATCCGTGTTCGCCATCAAGGCACTCAAGTTGTGAGCATGAGAACTTCTTCAAGCAGTGCTGTGCTGCGGACATGTGTCATGGTTCGGGACTTGCCAACTTCGTTCTAGGTCATTCATTCGGCGGGGCTCTGTGTCCAACAAGTGGTGCGAGGTTGCCGGAAGCTACACATGCTGCCATGTAGAAACAGCAGGCTTGATTGGTTCAGGCCCGCAGGCACCGCCTACTCTGCAGCCATCCCTGCTGAAGCCAACGCGTTGAGCCCAGCATTGGGTCTAAGAGACGTGAGCTCAACTTGCAGCCCCTTGACATAATCTCTGCACGGGAAACTCCATCAAGGAAGCCCCCTCATGGCTTGGCAGAGCCCACCGTGAACACTATTATTACTGAAGACCATCCTGAAAACTATTACGATTAGCACTACGGTGGATGGAGAAAATTATGAGGAAATCTTGCACTACTTGGGAACCCAAAAACTGCGCTTATTGGGGTATAGGGTAGATTAGGTGGTGCAGAATTTCTTCCATCCACTGTATTTATTGAAATTACGGAGACTACCAACATAGACCCATCACCGCGCTGCAAAAAATTCAAATCAAAAAGATGTGTGGGCGCACCGCTGTCATCCGAGCGGGCAGTTTCAGTGCCAGAGGCGGCGGCCCCTGCGATGTCCATTGCCAACTGTGCTTCGGCAGGCAAGCTCTTTGCTTTCTCGTGAGGCTGCATGAAGCAAGACGAGACAAAGCGGAGACACTTGTGTCTCAAGCATTCTCCTGCTCTTTTTCACATCCTCCAGGCACGACCTTCCTGAAGCAAACTGCAAGCACAGAGACAGCAGGGCAATCCCTGATTTATGCCTGGGATTCCTAAATGGTACCCTTGTTTTGCCTGGCACATCCATTGGCTCCACCGGCTGCAGCTGCGAGTGCTGTGGCGAGATGGAGCCTCAGGCATTCTGAAGGGGTTAAAGCTGGGGTGCCCGTAGGATTTGGAAAGGTATGGGAAGACGATGGGGTTATCCACCTCAAGGATCGTGTTGTGATTGTTTGGAGAAACTTGGGAGGGTTTCTGGGAGTATCGTCAGAGATCTTGGGTGATTCCTCGCGTAATAAAGACTGAGATGCCGCGCGAAATCCGAGTAAAAAAGGGATCCGTGAGACCCAAATAACAGCAAAATGAAAGATAAACCCTGTAAACCCAGTTTCCATTTCATGTTCCATGGTCGTTTCCCTTTGATTCTCCGTTCTTTGGGTCCAAAATCTGTAAACCCAATCCAACGCCCTAAACCCTGAATCCTAAACCATAGGCCCAAAACTTGGGGCCCTAAACCCTAAACCCTCAACCCGTCCAAGCTCCCAGCTCAGGCTGAAGAGGCCACCCTGATTCAGCGTTTCGGGAGCGCAAGCCTGGGATAAGGCTTAGGGTTTAGGGTTTAGGGTTTAGGCCTGGGCAGAATTTGGAGCTATAAGGGTCTAGGGTTTTTGGATCTACCCCGAGGTTATATGAGACATATTACTTCAGGGTTCAAGGTTAATCTAGGGCCTCTATGAGGTTATATAGGGGTAATGGAAAAGAATGGAAACTACAGTTTGGGGTTTAGGGATATTACCCTAGAAATGATGAATCAAATGTAAAAGAGATGAAATGGAAACTGGGAAGAGGACATACGGGTGTATACGGATTAGAGTTTCCAACAATTCGGGGGTACCATTTTAGGCCCCCTTAATGAGGAATGTAATGCTTAAATCTATATTGAGGTCCTCCTATGTTGGGAAACTACCATATCCAAAAGGCCATGAGCGCAAGCAACTTTCGCACTTGTTGCAAAGGTGCTTCTCCAGCCTGCACTGGCTGCGCAGCATCGAGAGAAGGTTCCCGACGGTTGGGATGGAAAGCCCTGCGCAGCAGAGCAGCATGCCAGGACCAACCAGTCCAACCAGCATACGAAAAAAAGTCCTACTGTATGAAGGTACCCTCAGCCAAACGGACATGGAAATTTACAGAAATCTGTGGAATCTCCTTTTAGGTTTCCAAAACACAATGCCGAACCATCTGGCAAAGCATCATCTAAGGACTTTTGGAGGGACCCCTAATAGGGACCCTTGTAGCTTATGGGGTTAAGAAGGGGACATCCTAGGGATATAGGGGTTATATAATGACTATGTAAGGGTAATGTATGGTAATGGGATTAAGGGTCCCTATTAGGGGTCCCTCCTTCAGTTTCTAGACATCAGGACACCCGTGCCGAGACTTTTCTGCGCACATGACCCTTGGTGGGAGGGTTTTGGACTGCCAGGCCACTCGACCGTGACCAATGCAACCCTAGCTCAGGACAACAAATCCTGTTAAATCGGAGTTTGCGTGACTGCGCGCTTGTCTGCTCCATGCTGCCTGAAACCCAAGGAAGGTTGCCTGTGTCCGTTAATTGGCAAGCAAACTACGTAACAGCACCTGCGAACCATCGTCTAGTCCAATCCACCTCACCATGCCCGGATGTTTGGCGCGCAGCCACACATGTGTTCCAGAAGGGGCGACACTGGAATCAGACCCTGTGTTTAATAGGAAGCTCCCAATATAACCCCAACATAACCCTATATAACCCCTATATAATCCATTATAGTAGTTTCCATTTTCTTTTCCATTATCCCAATATAACCAATTCACACATTTCGGAAACTGCACGTGCGACTCCGGGCGCTCATCCGCTGGTGCCTCAGGCAGAGGAATGCACAGGAACACACGACTTGAAGTGCTTGGCAGAAGACCACTGGCGTTGTCGTACGAAAAAGCCTGCAAAATAATTCAAACATGAACACACTTCCACCAAAAAAAACAGGCTGCACAGCAGTAACGGCCGAGTTTCTCAGTCAGGGCACCCCAAACGTGAGCCTGTAATCCCCCCCATCAGGCTTTGACATCAGGCCTACATGATACTACATGTATACAGCAATTTTCAACCCCCGACATTGCCACTGCTACTCCCGGTTCCTCCTAGACTCCTAGGCGTTAAACATGTTGCCCCCGTAGGCTTTTAGCGGGCAGAGTGGAAGTTGCAGGGGTCCAGGTTTCCTCAAACGCTCTCAAGAAATCCTGAATGTGGATGTGGCCATGTCATGACACTATAATGGCCGATTGACCTCAAAAAGCTACACAACCTGCAGACATGTATCCCTGAGCCTCAAGCACTGTATGTTTCACTATGAGTAGGGCATGAAAGAGGAAAGGGTGTAGGAAGCACTCACCCGCTGTTTTGTCTTATCCGCTCTTGTTTTTTCATCTGTAGTGAGGGACATGAGTTCTGCCACTTGCCTGATTGCAGGGCTAATACCTGAACTTCTGTAGCAACTGGATCCTTGCAGTCCTCTCATACCCACTGACATATCACGGTCTCCAGCCAGGCCATCTTTTCCTGTAAATGAAACATGCACCCCCTGCCTCAGTGGAGGTGGTAGAAGGTCCCAGAGCGATCGCGGCCTGAAAGCCAGATGTTTGCAAGGCTTCTCACATCAACAGCATGAACATGATGGTCCCTGCTGCAGCTTTCATCAGGGAATCTTTTGCAGAGAGTGGTGATCCTGTCTGAACCTGTCGGCGCATCGACCAAAGCCGAGGGTATCCAGGGTCTGAGGCTTAAAGCCCTGAAATTGCAGAGATTGGGCGTTGGTTGAAGGTCTGAACAAAAAGGTCTAATCTTGTTCCCCTCTCACGAAAGAGTTACACACAACCCGGCCCAAAGCCCCAAGACTCCCCACCCCGATGCATGCGTGGAGTCACAGCCAGAGTAATTGGAAGAAACAAAAACCGGGAGGGATACGAGGGAATATGTAATATGATTACATGTATAATGTATGGTGACTAAACAGGGAATTTATTCTCTTATTCCGTACCAACCACCAGTAAGCCAGTTTATAGCATGCTGCTTGCCATCGCGCAGAGAAAATGATAGCCTACTTGACCCAAAAACACAAAGCCCTAAATTTTAGACTATCGCAACACATCGCAAGCTGCAAGGCATGCTGTTGTTGTTGTACTTTTTTCCACTATAGAAATGTAATTATGGAAAATGAAGTGGAAGCTACTATAATGTTGGGGTTATATTGGTTTCAGATTTGGATAATGGAAAATCAACTGGATTGGATACAATAGCCAACAGCACGCATGGGCTTAGATTGAGACCTCGGCTAGGCTATAGAAATGAGATCACCCGTCTAAAGCAACATCAGGAATACCGCAACCCCTGGTTGTGACTCACCCCTGCACTCCCTCGTTACAACGGCTTGACCATGCAAAAAACTCACTGAAACCCTGAGGCCCGAAACGCCAAACAGGCCTTCATCTATCAGATCATCAGGATCCTCCACGTCAACTTCAGCAATCTCCGGGATGCGCTGCATGAGGTACTTCCTGTATGCGCTTGCCAGGCCACATGATGAAGGCCACTCAATGACAGCCATACTTCTGACAGCTTTCACAGAAGCTGCACAAAGTTGCCTCAAAGTGGACGGAATGCTAATTACGGCAGCATCAGCTGTGCATGACAAGAGTACAGCGATGAAATTCGAAAGCCTTGTTCCTAGGTCTAGAACAGCGCAAACTTCTCGAGTCAGGCGGCCTCACGCGTTTGAGGACATCCTGCAATCAAGCCACGCAATTATGATGTGCCAAAGAGCACAAACGCTGCCCAAGTACTGCCATCAGAAAAAGCTTGAACCTGAATATCCCTTCTTCGTGCAACGTGAGGCAAAAAATGCTGCTATGCCATCAAGATATTATCCGAATCACCTAGCAATCTTGGCAGCTTTGTCGAGCGGGCGGCTCTGAAAGCAGTGGGTCTGTAGCTGTGCTGCTTGGGAGGTGCCAAAGACACCTCAATGTATACAAGACTATGTTGGGGCTTTCCATTATTGCACATGTACATGCCCATGTACGCAGAAGAAGGTCGCCAGACTATAAGCAGACCTCAAAGGAGATGGCAATGATACACACAATTCAGGTCCCAACACCCTGTTGTACATCACTCGCCTCACGGTTGTGCCAGAAGGCACCATGGAGGTGGATGAATACCATCGGGCCCTCCACCTCCACCAGGTCAACCTTAAAATTTGAGCGACAATGAAAACTTCTATAGTATAATGGGGTATAATATACTGTTAATGGGGTTAATGGAAAATAAAATGGAAAGTACTATACTTTACAATGGATGCGCTGCACAGAGTCAGGGCAAAGCGGTCAGATCTGAGGTCGCATGCAAGTCCAGCGCATCCAAGCCACCTTTCCCGTGATGCCAGCACCCCTCAGTATCCAGACAGCGCTGCTCTGTTGTGGACAAACTCGCGAAAGGAGTTGCATGATAACCTCCATAGAACTCCCCCGCAAATCTTGCCCGGAGATAGTTCAGTCAGGGCTGGATTGTGAGGCGTGCGAGGCATGCTGGGCTCCCTACGAGCTCTCTACCACGTAGCCGAAACAATTCTGCAGGTGATGGTACCGGGCCTCCTGAAGGACGACCTGCAGAAGCAAGAGGGGACAATGCCCGCCAGTATTCTTTGATAGTTTTTTTTGAAAGGTTTCCAGCCTCAACATTCTCCGGAGTGAGTGTCAGAGGTTCACCGATCGGCTCGCTACCAGGAACCTTGTGAATCAACAGCTCACAGCCTGCAACTCTGAAGTATGCCCCCTCAAACTACTACCATTATGTTTATCACTATTGTTCGTATTAGTACTACTATAATTCTTTCTATTCTTACTATTATCACTCTTGGACGACGCGATCTGCCGCCCAGTGCTCCAATTTGGCAGAGGGTCCGCTCGCACGAGGATCTCTGATCGTGGTTGACGCTGAAAGGCGGAAGGCCGCACTAGCGGCACCTTGCGGTAAAATCGGATAAAAAGGAAGGCGACACATGCGGATCTCCCAAAATTAGGAGTACCCTTTTGGAAGTCCCCATAATAGGGATCAATGTTTTTTAGATTCCTTTTCGAGATGGAAATTCCCATATTGACCACAAAAGCATGCAGATCGACTTTGCCAGTGCACCCTCCAGATACGCTGAGGAACAAAAGCCACGAACTTCACCAGAAGTACCTTGGTCCATGCGCAGCCAAAGCAGTTATGACACTATAGACCACTATAGGGGTTCAGGGCTTAAGGTAGGATTCATATAAACTTTTGTGGAATCCCAGTTCCTATTTCATTTTTTCGTTGTGGCTTCCAGTCGGTTCTCCATTATTGCAATGTTCAGTCTCTTTTCCATTATCCCCGTATAATACCTCTTGCATGAAACTTGGCTTGTATCTGGTTATGGCAAAGCCATCATGCCTGATCAGACCTAAACTTCTTCACGTCTTTGACCAGAACGACCCACAATGGGGGCCTCCAGACTGGATCCTGCAGCTTGGGAAACCTTCTTTCTCATGCTGCGGCCAGGTTGCTGCCGCCAAAGAAGCTGCAAGGACGTTTGAGCGCATGACTGGGAAGGCGCCGAAAGCGCCGGGCTCCAGAATCCACAGGCTGGAGGATAATCCGAGGTGCACGTTGCAGGATGCTGCCATACGTCACTTCTATAAGCTGGCTTATGTCTGAAACTCAGAAACCTTCATATGCTGGACTCTGACACGTAATACATGTGGAACATTGACCATCTGACGAACCCAACTGCCGCAGACAAGAGCTCAAGCTTCCACACATCTGCGCCGGCACCTCCCGAAGAAGCTCTGCCCTGCCATCCCATGCAGGCCCCTTCTACCATACTGCATCCTGCCTGGGCTCATGGACGGGTCTCGCTGCCCTGGCCTCAGACTTGAGGCTTCCAGCACGCAAGAGCCTTCTGCTGTGAATTTTCTTGGGACAGAATATTTTGGGTGGCATGGCAAATCTTGACAGCAAACTGCAAGTTTTGGCAGATGCATGTGCTCACCGGGCAGCGCACGTCAGCAACCCAATGGCCATCCATCTGCTGAGGGAAACCACGAACACCTCAGCAGCCACCCTTCTGTGCTTACAGATCGCTGGCGTGAAAAAAGTATCTTCTTGCCTGCATTGGCCCAGTATGGAGAGGCTTCCTGGCGGAGACAGCCAACTGTCAGCTAAGTGTGTCCTACCATGTGGAAGCTTCCATAAATACAAAATCCCAATATCTTGTGATCCTTGGTATAAGGGCTCCTCAAATATTTGCAAGCCCCTATCTTTTTTAATGCTTGCCACGACCAGCGTCCTGCGCAGGGAGCAGCTGCGAGCTGCTCGACATGCGGGAAGCGTTTGCGCGGGCCTGCCAGGCAGGCGCGCAGCAAGGATGCCAGATAGAAGCCTGTCAAAATTGTGCTCCCTTGTGGAGTACCCTAAATTATGTGGGGGGGGCGGTTTTTATTCGTCACCCAAACAAAGACCATAGTTTTGACAACCCCCTCCAAGCTCAAAAAGAATGGAGCGAAATGCTCTGTTTTCAGCACAGGCGGAGCAAAGGGCAAGGCACCGGACTTAAGCTCATTGGCTGTCCGTGTCTACTCACTGCGTGATGCACCCGCGCCTGGCAGCCAGTGGCCAGACCACTGAATGTCTTGAAAACGTAGACTTTGTCTTACTGCTTGAGATTGCCAGTAATACTTTGACCCAAATGCACCTGACAAGGTCCTGTTCATCAAAAGGCGACTGAGCCAAGCACGCCCACACGAGGATCGCGGCAGCAAAGTGACCTATACAAGTGACTTCACCAGAGGCGCGTCTACTGGACGCTCCGAAGTGACCCTTGCTCCTGGACCTGGTCTGCAGAGGGTAAAGGTCACATGGCCATGTGCCCTTCTTAGCAGATTTGTCTTCAACCCGAACCTTGCAGTGCTGAAGGCAAGAAGAGCTCGACCAATATGCCTGCAAAATCAAGGCGGACACAGCGACATCTCAGCTGGTGGTCCACGATTTTGCAAAGCTGAGCCCCGACGCCTTGCAGTGAAGCCGGTAAAGTGGCCTCGACGGGTCAAGGTAGGGGTAACCCGTTAACGAGATGGTTTCATGGCTTCGGCTTTTCAAAGTGGTGCCCCTCACTCCAAGGCATCAGAGCTTGGCTGCCCTTGCGGTCGCCCTATCTTTGATCCCTGCCAAGTTGATGCATTCCTGCCTCTTGCGGGGCTCTTCCTCATGGAGTGCGCACATGCGGGTCGGCCCACGAGCTCCACAGTCACAGGACCATCATTGCAGAGGTCCACCTGCCTATGCAGGTTGGCAAGAAGTATTGACTCAACAAGAGCACTGCGCAGGTGCTTCCGGGCTACATGTCGGCGCCAAACTCACCGGTCTGCACGCGATCCTCGCCAATCTCCTGAACTATCCGATGAGCCAATGAGCCAATCGCTTCAGGGTAAGCTGAAATCCCTTGCAAAGTGCGATGTCAGTGTCTCACCCTTACAAAAAAACGGTAAGTGCTGAGACCTCGAAGCGGTAACAAGGGTAAAGCGTGGCCCTTACAAGCCCGCGTCTCTCCTGCTGGCAGGTTTCGACAAAGGCTTCATAAATGGGCTCTGCCTGGCGCTGTGCCAAATGCTTCTTAGGCTTCTTTGCAGCACACCTGTCACCGGGACTTGAAACTTCGGGACACACAGGTGCTGTGTGAGTTGGGTCTGTCACGCCTCGCTGGCTCCCATCGCACGATTGAAGTTGGGCTTCGTGCCTTTGAATGTTGCGAAGAGGGTGAACTGGCTCACAACCTCAATGGAGGCAGGTAAAGGGCAGGGTCCAGAGCTTCAAGGTCTGTTGGCTGCTCAGGCGCAGGCCAGGACCCCATAATTGTTGTCAACAACCTCAAGCCAAAGCAGCAAAAAGCGCAACATGACTGCCACGTTTGCTATAGTCACAGTCACTCCAGTATTCGACTGCTGGGATGTGAGGGCATGGGAAGGGATACTGGAACCGGTCTCAATTTACATGAATTAAAACCGAACGAGCCTCACTGAGTCCTCAGCTGTCCCCTCATGAAGTTCTGATAATGGCAAACACCCTCCCCCTTACCCCCTGAAGCCTAGCCCTGAACACTAAACCCTAAGCCTTAAACCGTAGACCCGAAAACTGAACCTATAAACCCTAAGCCAAAGTGGCAGTTTCCCAAAATAGGGGGGCCCTAATACAGACCCTATTCATGACACATAAATGTATACATATATATATATATAGATATATAGATATATAGATGTATAAATATTTATGTGTATATATATATATATGAAAATATATATATATATACACACTCCATATTTTGGGGACCCCGAGAATGGTACAAACCCTATTTTGGGAAACCCTAAACCCTGAACCCCTAAATAGTAGCTTCCATTTTCTTTTCCATGATCCCTATATGACCCCTACAGACCCCCTATAGAACCTTATAGTATAATAGTTCCTCATGTTCTTTTCCATAACCCCTTCACACCCTCCCTAAACCCTAAACCCTAAACCCTAAAACCCTAAAACCCTAAAACCCTAAAACCCTAAAACCCTAAACCCCTTTTTACCCCCATTCTAAAAAAAGAAGCTCAGGGTGCCGCTGAGGAAGCCCAGCTCTTCGCGGCATCCCTGCATCTGAGCCATAGTCTAAACTCCTAGTATCCCCCTTAATATCCCCTATAATAGTCCCCTATATAATCCCCTATATAACCCCCTTTAAGGAGTTTAGACTATGGTTCATCTGAAGTCTTTCAGCTTTTGCAAGTCCAACCGTCATGGCTTAAAGCTTAGAGTCCCCCTTAAGTACATAGGGGTTATATTGGGGTTA